CAAAGTCGGTGGTGCAATCAGCATGCCACCATAGCCCCAGTAGGGTGCAGTGGAACTTAATGGGCTAAGCTGTTAATTTGTGCTAATGTACCTAGCTTGTTGAGAAGTTCAGCTGTGGGTTAGTGCATGGGTCTATAAATAAAAAACCACAAGAGTATTAAATTTGCATAAATATTGCTATAGCTCTAGATTCCTTTGAATGTAAATACTAGTAGTTTATGTTATGAGCAAAATAAATAAACTTCTCAAGACTTTAAATGTTACAGGGGTTGTTGTTTGCATGCATAGCATGTGGATGAGGTATATCTCATTCAGTCAAGTTGTATATATGCCCTTTCGAACTTGGCTGAACCAATGACCATATACAGGATTTAGGAGCAAGCACAGAAACAACTGGGATAGGTCTTGTTGTATTTACATTACAAACCTACACTTGTCCAAGCACTTTACTGGGACCTACCCTGAGTGACCTGATAATGATTTCAGGTGAAGAATTTGGGATGGCTCACCCTGTAGTATGCACATGTTTGGATTGTTTAATCCCGAGACCAATTTCCATGACAACAGGGTAAATCATGTGTGTTAAGTGTGTATATGGTACATGTGTATGTGTATTTTTGTGTGTGTATATGTAATGTGTGTATGTTTAATGTTGACACATATTTTCAGTGAGACCATCAGATGATATGTTTGCCACATATTTTTCAAATATCATTTTTCAAATTTCAAATATCAAATATCCAGAGTATACCCCATTCCTTAGTGTAAACATGGTAGATTTTGGCAATCAAGGGCAATAGCCTTTATAGGTCAAATGCAAGGTGAAGCACAAAATACACATCAAAGTATAAAACACTGGGTTGGTTTGTGCTTTAGCCTTTAAACTTACTGTCAGCCACTTACAACAATAGCTCAATGGCCAAAACAGGTTTTATATTATTAAATTTATTAAATGTTTATATCTTCACTGATATTTTGCATACTATAAAGCACTCATGCATGTTTAATATAGGCCTTTTTATTGGTAATATTTTAGAAACTAAGAAACCTACAATAAAATATTTTCTAGTTATAAATTTTCTCCTCTGGGGTAAAAGGTATCATTAGTACAAATAAATAGTAATTTCAACATTCCATATAAATTCAATGTATTATTAAAATATTTATATTAAAATTAAAAGATTCAAGAATAAGCCAGTTTCTTTGACTTTGTTTGGTCAGTTTCTCTTTCAAACTGCAAAAAGGCAGTATATTTCATGATGTGCATCCAACACCAGACATATATTTTCAACCATTTGAAATAAATCGTTATTTTTTTTAGAATGTTCAATGATCTTGAGTTCTCTCATATGACCAGCAGACTTTCTAATATTCGAGAGGCTGGTCTCCTGAGGAGACCTTTAATTAAAATACCGTTTTCGAGGAAAAATCCTTATTATCAACGCAGTGATCATTTGGACATAAAATCTTTCCCAAATGTACCGCTCGTTAGGCAAGCCTTTCAATTTCATTTAGTATAGTACAGCAATTTCCTTCTTTGCATTCTCATGTCCGCCATGTTTGTTACAAATTCTGCCAGGTGCTTCGTTTCCCGAGTCCTTCCCAAGCACCCCCGCGCGCTCGCTCATCTTAGCCACTGATCTATATAAAAGCACTGTAGTGTTGCTATTTTTAGTACGTTATTTGCGCCTGGGTACGAGGCTGGTTCCACAATTCATGGAAAACACAGGAGTACTGTTTAGGCGTGCAACGTTTTTGTCAATACGCAAACGTCACGCATACAGAATCGACGGAACTGTCATGACACAGCATATTGAGACCACATAAAAGTTCAACTTCTTCACGGCGCCTATGATTTTGGTGTATCCGCTGCAATGCTGTCGTAATTTTTCTTTACTTACGACAGGCGATCACCTACTAAGATATTAGAAACGGCAGGCGTTCAGAGGTTTGAATGCCTCTCATAAACGCACAGGATAGGAACATGTCGATACTGGGCGGAGCGTGAAACTTGAGTATAACCGTTTCTTTAACTTTTTGTAAACTCCGTCCATATTTTCTCCACCGTCTTAATATAATAGAAAGCAATTCTATGGATTTCATTTATAATGAAAATAAAATAAAGAAGAGTAAACTTACCAGTATGTTGTTACAGTCTGCTCGATAGCCATGGGTAGGAGTTGTGATGAGCTCAGTTTTGATATTAACATAACTATCAGTCGTGTAACACATGGTCCAACCTCCGCCAAATGATGTCATGTCACAATATGCTTCGAACGGATTGCCTTGGCCTTCTCCATCTGGGTCTGTCAAATATTTTCCGTCGCCTTGACTTAAACCTTTATTTTTGATATCGAGACAGCTAGTGCCTGAAAAGCAGAATATATAACTTAGAGTTGTTTGTTTTAAGAGTTTTAGAATACACAGGAATATAGGTTACTGGAAATACATGCACGCAATAACCCCTCGCCTATATTTTTCTATATTTTTCTAATCAGAAATCAACAATGTCAAAATTCATATTATGAACGGCAGACCTTCATCACAAGTATTTGCCCCGCCCAGAGATATAGAGCGAGCTGCCGGAAAGATTGCGAAACATCGTCTGACAAAGAATGAATGTCAACAATGTCCGATAAAGAATGATATTTATGAGATCACTGACATGTTCACATTGCGGTATAGTATATGTTGGCGAAACCGGTAGAACAATTGGGTCGCGAGACAGGAACACTTAAAGATGGACAAACAAACTGTGTACATGCAAACATATAGAATCTTATAGGAGTGGAGGACCTGATCAATCTGACATCATGATTTGGAAAACATTGCATAAAAATATAACATACCAAGATGAACGCAAACGTATTGAAGCTTTTGACATACATTATCGTAGCGAAAATAATTTATTATGAACGGTATATTGTTTTTGGCGCGAGCACATAAATCCATTTATTTTTTTCCGATCCCGGTAATCCCTAGCCCGTAATGTAAATGGAGCCTTCTGATTGGTTGACAAGATGTCCGTACCACACGATACGGACCTCTCGCACACGTTACGGGCCTAACGCTTTGGTTTTAAGAATGCACAAAATGCACCTCCTAAAGATTTATCTCCATGTTTATTAGATGGAGGTTTGACCATTTAGCATACTGTAGATCTTCTATCTACAGTGTGTCCCCCAAAAAAGTACCCTTATAACAATAGGATAATTGCTATAAAGGGTACTTTTTGGGGGACACACTGTATAGGCATACAATCGTTATCTAAGGCAGCGTTTACACTGTACCGTTTTCGTAGCGTTCTCGTATTGTTCAAGAGAACTAGACTATTGTCTTGCGTTCCCTTGAGGATTAAGAACAATACGAGAACGCTACGAAAACGGTACAGTTTAAACGCTGCCTAAGGCAGCGTTTACACTGTACCGTTTTCGTGGCGTTCTCGTATTGTTCGAGAGAACTAGACTATTGTCTTGCGTTCCCTTGAGGATTAAGAACAATACGAGAACGCTACGAAAACGGTACAGTGTAAACGCTGCCTAAGTAAGTAATATTTGCACTGGAAGCATTAGCAAACAATGCCACTTTATTTAGAAATATGTTAATAGATTACTTTATTACATTCAAATAATCCCTTTAGTGAGTAGGCTTACATAAAAGTAGAGCCAAAACAGGTTGTCTGTCACATTTCGCTACGAAGATGACCCAGCTAAGGAGGGAAATTTTTGTGTGAAACGCTCTAGTATGTGTCGCAGCCAAGTCTTGACATGTCTGATCCAGTGCAACCACAAGTCGTAGATATCGCCGCCGTTATCGAGGACCATTTACTCCAAAACGAACAACAGCCTCCTCCAGCGCCAGCCGAACACGCCATTAACGACGCCGTACATGCTGTTCAAAGGGGAGTTCATGCGGAACCGGCTCTGGTTTAAATATACGTCTCCTGTACTGTAACCAGTGTACATGTCAGATGGTGCAGTTACAATTTGTTTGAGTATACGTTATCTCTGTATACTATAGTTTTTTTACTCTGACTCTTTGCACTCTTAACTTTGTGGTTGGTTCGGTTAGTCACCAAAATTGTCGCGCCCAGTTATTTTACTACGTTACAGATTAGTTAAGAACTAATCTAGTTGTTCGTCGGGATATGGCTTAGATTCCTCATTTGCTTTCTGTTTATCGAGAGGGACAAACATAGTTAGGTTTATACACTGTCTACGACGGAGTTCTCGTGCTCAGGTGCTTATGCGGTGCTGGCCTTGGCCCTGCGTTGCTGATTTGTATAACCTTTCCTCACAGCTAGCATTCCCGTTCAAGAACAGTTCTCATTTCTTAAGCATTTTTGTTAGAAAGTTCGTCAGGTGCCCTCAGACATTTCCCATGCTATCAGGAGTGCACATATTGATACTCTTGTTACATACGAATATCATTATTAGCAGAGTAAGATTCGATCGTTTACGCTTTTCATTACACGATGTTATCCGATGCCATTGGTTAAATATGCTTTGAGTAATATAAAGCGATTTATACAGAATTAGACTCGTTTATACCTTTCAAGCCAAGCAACGGCTTTCTGCTCTTGGGACAAAGTTTTTAATCCCATGAGAGTCGGTTATGCTTTGGAAAAAAGCGATTATATGCATACTCGGATGCTTTTGACTCCAGCGATCACACAGAATCAGAATTCTCGCTAATTCGTTCCGATCAGTTTATACAGAGTGGGATTCATTCTGCCGTTTGTGTAGCAAGATTTTAGTGACTAAGATTTGTTTATACTTTTGAATAAGCGAGTTTATACTATCGGATTCGTTTATGCTTTTGAACAAAGCGGTTATAGCCTACGGAATGGGATTCGTTATGCTTTGAATAACACGTACGATTTTACTGACTGCGCTCTCTCTCCTCCGCAGAGGCTTTAATTGGCTATGAAGGCGCGAAGCCTCTGCACGATTTGCATCGCAAAGTGGGACAAAGTGAGACAAAGTGTAAACATCGAAACAAAAGGTGATTTTTAAGCTAAACAAGAAACGTCTTTTTGAAAATTAAATCATTTAATGCATGATTGATTGACCTCATTGACTAGTGCTTGCATGTTTGTGGATGGTCAAAAGTAATATTTTTTAACATTTAATACACAAAGCAAACAATCGTATATTTTACTCACCACTTGGTCAAACATTCTGTATTTCGTATCGAGAAAAACTTGAATATTTCTTGAACTCTTCGGAATTCGCCACCAGTCAAAGAAGTAAAATACTCCTTGTATTCAAGCGCTTTCGTGTAGAAAATTTCTTTTGAATACGGCCAGTAGAAATATTTATTTTTAATTTTTCAAAATATCGGGTTTTTACTCGCACAGTCGCACGCGCCTGTCACACGCTGATGTTCGGGAATTAGTTCACAATCAGACCAGGAATGGAAATACCATAATAAAAGATGAAGTTTTCAAGATACAAGCTCAAAAATAACACTCTAAGTTGTGTTTTGAATTCGCTTTCGAACAAGAGTAATACAAAGAGGATGCGTCCCAAGGAGCCGAAGTTATGTTCGCCGAAATGTATGCCTAGTTTATATTTATCAAGTGTAAACATTGCGTGATTTGATATTAATATACAAAATCCCGCTTGACTTTCAAAGGTCATAAATCGCTATAGTGTTGACATTTCACTAAAACTATCGATAGAAACTAGGAGATATTTTTGTACTGAATGGAACGGTGGTATTTTCATCTACATAGCGTATATTGAACAAAAGATACGAACCTCCAAATAAATCAGGTCGAAACCGACTGAAGGTCGCGTTTGTTTTTAAATATTGCTGAAGTTGAAATAGTTGAATTGTATTTTCAGTCTTGATAATAAATTTAATAATGGTTCTGTATGCTATACATACTCATTTTTTTTCTTTTATGCGGTTTCGGGCACATTTCTAAAAATACAAATGTCAAATATAAATTTAAATAAAAGTTTCTTCGCTTGCAACCAAAACCTGTTCGCTAAATACGTTGTTTCCATGCATTGTTTTATCATTTAGATGGAGACCTTGTCTAGAAAAAATGCAGATGTTTTGTCGCAAACTGAACATAACACTTTCTTATTTCGTAGAGCTAGTAAATAATCTCTTTCTCAGCTTGTTGCAGTATTGTAAAGAGATATTTTCTCAGTCATTTTGACTTGAATTTTGCGTTTGATAATTATACGCCCCCCCGGTTTCCCGCCATATTGGGTGTGGCATCGTGCAGAGGCTTCGCGCCTTCCTTCGCCTTTCCCTTTGCCGCCTGCGCTCCTTCGCCCAGCGGTTACGCTCGTGTTCCAAGATCCGCCATGTAAAGTGTAGTGAAATGTATCTCATCGAAATGTAAAATCCTAAAGCCTCTGCGGAGGAGAGAGGACTGCGCTTGTAATGACCAGTGGCGAAGCCAGCGTCGTGTGAGTGGTCATGCAAACGAGCGCCGAAGGCGTGAGACATCCTAGGGGGGTCCGGGGGCATGCCCCCCGGAAAATTTTTGAAATATATACCCCAGAAACGCCATTTGCAGCAATCTGAGCATCAAATTTCAGAAAATAGCTTGATCTAATGACGGGAAAATATGTGGATATTTTGGCATATTAGGCGACAATAATGAAGATCGACACAAAAATAGGAAATCTATGATCTGCAGTTTCGCTAATTATAGTCATACCGACAATTGTGCATTTCTTTTCGATCAGAAAATATTACATGCATGTTCTGTATTATCATAGTCTGTATAGACTACCTAATTGCTACCCCCTTGTAGTATTCCAACGTGAAGTCTGAAGAGTTTTCACATTTCCCGCAGAACTAGATACAATTTTATCCACATATGCTAACGGAACATAATGACAAATAGCTGCTAATACAGTCCGTATAATCTAGAATATAGGTATAATATGCAGGACTTGGAAAATATAACGCATGAGCAATTTTTGAAAAATTGAAAAATTGCTCACGCTTGTAAATATAACGACATATCTTGCATAACGCATGAGCCTTGATCAATTTCCTTAATTTAAAATCAATCGCCCAATTATTACAATACTACATACAGAAATGAATTAAGCATTATCAGATGTTTGAGTAGAAGACGTAGAAGTTTTAGGCCATATAAAAAAAGATAGTTGGTTAGCGTCCTTGGCTTTTGCCAAAAAGTGGGCGGGCGGGCGCTTTTTTTTTTAATTTTTACTAATTTTTAACGCCTTGGTTTTACTCACTGTTAGGTCCGAAACTGGATTTTCTTGCGCAGTACAGATATTTTTTATATATTTCAAAATATAATTCATACCGTCATTTTCGCACGCAATTTCGCAAATTATTAACACAATTGACTACAGTCAACAGAAATACTACATACATTAGAGCCCATTGATCAATAAAAGTCGGGTTTTTTTAAAATAAAAAATAAAAAAAAATCCTGAGCGGGGCCTTTTTGTGGGCGGGCGGGGACGCTAACCAACTATTTTTTTTTATGTGGCCCTTTAA